CCCCCGGGGGACCACACCCACCAAAGGGGCCCCCCCCCCCCCCCCCCCAAAAAAAAAAAAAAAGAAAAGAAAAGAGCACAAAGCCTGTGACCATTTTAGCAGGAGTGAAGAATGAGTCACCAAAGCACCCTGGAGCATTGTGCCTGCTCACGACACCACTGAAAACCACTCAAGAGAAACTATGTGAGGACAAGTCTCCAAATTCAGCATGTGCCTGATTTGCAAAGTCCAATTACAGACATTTTTTGCTGGCCTGCTCCTGCATGAGTACAGGACTTGGGTAGCACACTATCTGTTGTTGAGACTCAAAAGGGTGGAGCCAGAGATGGTTTTGGTTTGTAGGCGTTGTAGTCACCAAGCAGCCCTACAAAAAAAAAAAAAAAAAAACTCCAGGCTTTTAGTCAGATGGGCTCAACTGGAAGTCACTGGTCCTCTGTCATGTCTTCCCTTTCTTCTGCTTCCTTTGAGTTTAATTTGCTTGTGTCTAGTTTCTGAAAATAATAATAATAATAATAATAATAACTTAAGGTTACTGATTTGAAATCTTTTCTAATGTAACTATTTAGTAATGTGAATTTCCTCCCAGCATCTCTCAACTGCCTCCTATTGGGTTGTTCAAAAAGTCATGATGCATTTTTGCATAGAAAAACAGGGGCCAGCATGTGGCATGGTGGTTAAGGCCCTAGACTCCCACATGGCTGACAATGATTTGAGTCATAGACCTGGGGGCTTGCATTCTCACTCTCCCTCTCTCTCTCTTTTTCCCCTTCTCTATCTCTGCTCAAATTAAAAGAAACAAACAAACAAACAAACAAAAAACAAAAACAAAAAACTCTTTAAAGAAAAAAAAAAGCATTAAAAGTCATGACTTTTCTGACAAGCCAATTTTTAAAATTTCTTGAGATTCCTTCTTTGACCCATCGATTATTTAAAAGTGTACATTTAATTTCCAAGTGTTTGAAAATTTTCTTGTCTTTCCGTTACTGATTTCTAATGCGATTCCATTTGCTTGCAGAAAGTACTGTGTGATTTCAGTTCTCAGATGTGTTCAGGTTTGTTTTATTACCCTGGATGTGGTTCCTCTGGTGAATGGTCTGTAAATGTGTCAATCATATCCTCTTAGTTTGAAAGTACTATTCATTTCTGTCGGGTGGTTGAAAAAGTCGTGACGTATTTTTCTATGCAAAAATGTGTCCTGACTTATCCGATGACCCAATACATCTTTGCTGACT